TGATGCCACGGTGTCGTAGTTGGCATCGTGGGGTCCCGCCACGTCCACGTTCTCAAAGACCACATAGGTCACGGGCTGCTGCAGCAGCTGTGGTGGAGTCTTCGAATTTCTGGAACGGGGTATAGATATAAGGGTATACGGTAAATATCAACAGTCATCGGAGCTAACATGTGAAAATGTAAATGTATAGGTGGAGGAAAGACTCACGGCGGCTTGAAGAGCAGGTTCCTGGCGACAGCCGCATCGATGGCGCTACTCTGGAGAAGGCTGTGCTCGGCCAGCTTCTCGGCGGAGCAGTTGCGCCGCCTGGCCACGATTTGGGCATCGACCACCGCCAGCTCGGCCTCGAAGTGCCCAAAGAACTGGACACCCAGGAGCAATTGGTTCAGCAGGAAGGTGTGCAAGTCGCGGTCCAATTGGTGCAAGGTCCTCTGCTCCACGGTTCGCTGGAACTCCTCGCGCTGCTGCTCCAATGTTCTGGCATACAGGGCACTGACACATTCGGTGGCCGTACTTCCATTGCTGCCACCCAGTAGACGCAGTTGCAGGGCGAGATCAGGATGGGTTTTTCCGTTGATGTGTCGCCTGTGAATCGATCCCCTCCAATCGGAAATAGGTCCACCGGAACTGGCGGATCCGGATCCTGCGCCCCTCTTCCGGCGACGTTTTCGTGCGTTGCGCTTTTGGAGCTTCTGCAACTGGCGGAGATGCTTCTCCTCTTGCCGACGCCTGCTCTGGAGACGCTGGGCGGGAATGCCCGCCTGCAGGGCATTGAGCGTGGCACTGGAATCCAGCTGCTCGGATCGCGACCAGGAGCAGCCCATACTTAGCGATCGATTGTTGATTTGTGACTGAATTCCGGCCGATAAAGTGTGCAATCTGCGCCCGGAGCTCACCAATTACCAATCTGCGATCTAGTAATGACAATGGCAATCGGAAAGATAAGAGCAGGGCGACTCTTCCGGCCACCACCTCCTCCGGCCTAATTATCCATTATCAGCTAGTTCCTGGTGCTCCAATGAAAACGGAATTGATTTACACTTCATTGTGCTGCAAAAACATACAAAACTCAAAGAGGCGTCTAAAAAAGATGGTGTTATATAAAAAACTGATCTATGAAATCTTTACCTTAAAATACTAACTTCTGCTGTATGAATGCTATAATATTCCGGATATTGATAGAAGCGATGTCGTTAGGTGAGTTCCTTATGGCACTCTTAGTTAATTGTATTTTTTTATGGCAACTACATTTCACAATAGAAAAGATACACATCTGTACCTGTAATTTTTCCACAAGACGATCTGCAAAAGTCGTTTACCTTATTATTATTCAAGTTCATATCTGCACCACTGTGCCATGGCTATGGCCTGTTGCTCTATTGTCTTCGATGTAGACATGGAAGATCCATAAACAGTGATATCTGTAGTGTACTCTGGGCAAACAATTGATTGAAAGTGGAGTTGATGGCGGTGATGACAATGACATGTGGCCTTGGTTATGGTCGGTCGGTCGGTCGCATTCTACTCTTTACTATATCTGATATACTTTTGTCCTTGCAGGTGGAATCTGTGCAGTGGACATTCGACAAGACGACCCCCGATGACATCAACGGGGAGCTTAGGCACCTGGCCGAGTTCTTGGCCAACAAGCAGTTCGATTTGGTCATCAACCTCCCGATGAGCGGGGGCGGGGCCAGGCGGTGAGTACAACTTGGTGGTGATTCTTTTGCTGGCCCACCGATAAGGGAATGCGCTGGATCGTTATAGATTATATACCACTAAGTTGGTTATTCATGGAACTTGGGGGAGAAGTCCGCAATGCATTTACTTTGGCATTCTATTTGCATTGACTAATTATATTCCAGAATTTTTTGAGAGCTTTGTTTGTATGACTTGTAGCGGATATATAAAGCTAACCTACTTACTCGTAGATACAAATTCTGGTTTCTGTGGTATTAATAATACAATACTCACACAAATATAAGTCACTTCTTGTAATAAGGTTGGGCCTTGAACAGGGTACGGCGCCAAAACAAATAATAATTTGGCGTATTATATGTTGTGTTATAAAAAGAGCTTGTTTAACTTTCTTATCTGGCTCAGACATCTTAAATTGTATTTATATATTAAAAAGCCCAATTTATTTAAATATATCTCCGAGTAGAGCTGATTCACACATTATTAAAATCCCAGGGTCTCCTCGTTCATGACCCATGGCTACCGCACCCGTCGCCTGGCCGTGGACTACTCCATTCCGCTGGTGACCGATGTAAAGTGCACCAAGCTGCTGGTGGAATCGATGCGCATGAACGGTGGCAAGCCGCCAATGAAGACGCACACGGATTGTATGACCTCGCGCAGGATTGTGAAGTTGCCGGGCTTCATCGATATGCATGTGCACTTGAGGGAGCCGGGAGCCACGCACAAGGAGGACTTCGCCAGTGGGACAGCAGCCGCCTTGGCTGGCGGAGTGACGCTCGTGTGCGCCATGCCCAACACGAATCCCTCGATCGTGGACAGAGAGACATTCACCCAGTTCCAGGAGCTGGCCAAAGCGGGCGCTCGGTGCGACTATGCCCTGTATGTGGGCGCCTCGGATGAGAATTGGGCGCAGGTCAACGAGCTGGCCAGTCAGGCGTGTGGCCTAAAAATGTACCTAAACAACACTTTCGGAACCTTGAAGCTGAGCGACATGACCAGCTGGCAGAGGCACCTCACCCACTGGCCCAAGCGGGCTCCCGTCGTTTGCCATGCGGAGAAGCAGAGCACAGCGGCTGTGATCTTGCTGGCCCATCTCCTAGACCGTTCGGTTCACATTTGCCACGTGGCGCGAAAGGAGGAGATCCTGTTGATCCGTGCCGCCAAGGAGAAGGGCATCAAGGTGACCTGCGAGGTGTGCCCCCATCACTTGTTCCTCAGCACCAAGGATGTGGAACGTTTGGGTCACGGTATGTCTGAGGTAAGGCCATTGCTCTGCTCTCCGGAGGATCAAGAGGCACTGTGGGAGAATATTGATTACATCGATGTGTTTGCCACCGATCACGCACCACACACGCTGGCCGAAAAACGTTCGGAGCATCCACCGCCTGGATTTCCCGGTGTGGAGACCATTTTGCCGCTCCTCCTGCAGGCAGTTCACGAGGGCCGTTTGACGCTGGAGGACATCAAGAGGAAGTTCCATCGTAATCCGAGAATCATCTTCAACCTGCCCGATCAGGCGCACACCTATGTGGAGGTGGATCTGGACGAGGAGTGGACCATAACGGGCAGCGAGATGAAGAGCAAGTCCGGTTGGACGCCATTCGAGGGCACAAAAGTCAAGGGACGCGTCCACCGGGTGGTTCTCCGCGGCGAGGTGGCCTTCATCGATGGCCAAGTGCTGGTGCAGCCCGGCTTTGGTCTAAATGTCCGTGCCAAACAAGGACAATTGACGTCGGAGGCGTCGCTTGATCTGCTGCCCAGCGACAACGATGCAAATGACACCTTTGCCCGCCTCCTCACCGCCGATGGAGCCGGTGCAGGCGCACATGGAACATCGACCAAGGTGCACTTTGTGGACGGAGCCAACTACCTGCGCCCCACCTCGCCATCCCCACGCGTCCGTCTGGATTCTGCCAGCAACACCACGCTGCGGGAGTACTTGCAGCGCACTTCCAGCCCAAATCCGGTAGCCCACTCGCTGGTGGGCAAGCACATCCTTGCCGTCGACATGTTCAACAAAGAGCACCTCAACGATATCTTTAACCTGGCGCAACTGCTCAAGTTGCGGGTGACGAAGGATCGTCCGGTGGACGAGCTGCTACGCGGCAAGATCATGGCCAGTGTGTTCTACGAGGTCAGCACGCGGACGCAGTGCAGCTTCGCAGCTGCCATGCTGCGTTTGGGAGGCCGAGTGATAAGCATGGACCAGATCACGTCGTCGGTGAAGAAGGGCGAGAGCCTGGAGGACAGCATCAAGGTTATGGCCAGCTATGCCGACGTCATGGTGCTCCGTCATCCCACGCCCGGAGCTGTAGCGGTGAGTTGAAGTCGCATCAGTGTTCTATTTGCCTTTTAATTAATTATCTTCACCATTTCCAACAGCGCGCAGCCACCTTCTCTCGGAAGCCGGTGATCAATGCCGGCGATGGCGTCGGTGAGCATCCCACACAAGCGCTGCTGGACATCTTCACCATCCGCGAGGAGATCGGCACGGTGAACGGGCTGACCATCACCATGGTGGGTGACTTGAAGAACGGACGCACCGTGCACTCGCTGGCCCGCCTGCTGACCCTGTACAATGTGACCCTGAAGTATGTAGCGCCGCCTAGCCTACAGATGCCCAACGAGGTCGTCCAGTTCGTCCACCAGCGCGGTATCAAGCAGTTCTTTGCCACCAGCTTATATGATGTGCTGCCAGACACGGATGTGCTCTACATGACACGCATTCAGCGCGAGCGATTCGAGAACGTGGCGGATTACGAGAAGGTAAGTGTCTCCATTGTCTCATTGACTTGATGCTTATGCCTATTGGTTTCCTTTTACAGTGCTGTGGCCATCTGCTGCTGACGTCCGAGTTGATGACGCTGGCCAAGAAGCGCTCGATTGTACTGCATCCGCTGCCGCGTCTGGAGGAGATCAGCCGGGACATCGACTCGGACCCGAGGGCCGCCTACTTCCGGCAGGCGGAGTACGGCATGTACATCCGGATGGCCTTGCTGGCCATGGTCGTTGGTGGACGCAATACGGCGCTCTAGAGGATTTCCTCATGGAGACCTACAATCTTTGACTCTCTGCTATTTTTTTGTATACTATTTTTTATACCACACATATATGCAGCTGCATACGAATATATTGATCCATTTGATATATTGTGTGTGTTTTAATGGATGTATATGTAGTGTTCAAAATAATTAACAAGATAGAATGCTATAGTCGAGTTCCCCGACTATCTGATACCCGTTACTCAGCTTGTAGAAGTGCAAACGAGAAAAAAAAGTGGGAAAAAAATAATACACACTTTCAACGAATCTAGTATAGTAACGGGTGTAAAAATTATCTGAATTATCTTATTTCGCAGTCGAAATTAGAGCAATTAAAGTTCTCCCTTTAACTCTAAAATAATATATATTTGCACATATTTTATATAGTATTTTAGCAAGCAAAAAAAAGGTGTCATATGTGATATAGATATATGATGGTGATGGAAGTCCTTAGGCTAGGTGTCAGTCTCAAACGTTAACAATAAACATCACGTGCCCGTGCGCTGCTGCTTGGCGGTGGTGGTTCCACTAGTACCGCTGCACCACCACGGATGTGGGTCGCCACTGGTCCTCCGTGCCCTGCTTGGCCTTGTCCAAGGTCAGAGTGCTCTCTGCGAACGCTGCGTTCAAATTGCCGGCCAACTGTGGCTGATCCTGCGCCACACTGGTCATGGCCACCACGTTGGCGGAGGAATTGCTCTTCCGGGTGGCGTTGCTTTAAAAGACGAGGGTCAGTATGTTTTTGTATTTAATAAAATACGCAATAATGCATATAATTTGCTAAGGGCATATGCTGTTACCTCTTCTGCTTGCGACAGGCCACCATGGACACGAGGACGGCCAGAATGATGATGGCCGCCAAAAGGCCGGATAATCCGGCCACCATGGTCATCATGCCGTGCGGTTCCCCATCGGAAGTCACCTTGGTTACTGCAAAAGCGAGAGAAAGCCACTGGTGAGTGAGTGAGCAAGTGTGTGATTGATTGACTACTGGAGGTGACGTGCTGCTCCAATTTGGCAGGTGTGAAATGTAAATTGACCCAAGGTCAGCTGTAAAGCTACACAAAGTCTAAAAAATATATTTATGCATGGGTAAATAGTTCGCCTTTTAACTTCACCGCACTGAACTGCCTTAAATATAAATATGTATACTCGTGCAATTATCGAGTTTCGGAAAGGCGACCTTTTATTGATACAAAATTTAAGAATGTAAGTTGCAAAAAATGTTAAAACGAACCTTCACATAATATAAATATACATAGTGTTGTGAGTTATTTCAAACATTAAGTAAAGTAAACTGTTCAGCATTTCGTTGTAAATTTGCCTCGAAGCCAAGCACTAGTTATTTTTCAGAGTGCTTTGAACTTCAACTTGACGGCGATCTGATCGGAATCCGATCTGAGTCGAACTGAGTCGATTTAAAATGCGTGGAGCGACGGGCAGCAGGTTTATTTAACTGCCGCCGGCAGGCCGACGCACTTCCTCAACTTTCTAAACCGGAACCCCCTGGCCATCACTCACTCGAGTCCTCCACGACGAAGCGCTTTGTGTTGGGCGCGGACTGCACGTAACCGCCCAGCTCCATTTTCAGGTCCATGTTCTGTAATGAATTGAAAAATATATATAAGTAATGTCTTATTTAACGCATATTTGATGATATTGAACAATACTGCAGCAGACGGGTCTGCATTTGTATTACTTTCAAAAGCTCAAGCTCGAAATGATCACACTTTTTTTTTGCGTGCACAAGTTAGGTAAAAGCAAGAGGAGGCCGTGAAACATCTGTGTAAATGCAGTTAGCTAACTGCAGTGATCAAACACTAATTAATCGAAATACAGTGGAGCTTCGCTAGCGCAAGACCAAGTCACCTTTATTACCAATGCTCGAGGCTTTGGGATTGATAAATGAAAACAGCATGCTCATCCCAAAAGTCATGATTGAAGAGAGCTTGGTGTGCAATAAATTATGTATAAACTATTAAACAATATCTAACCAACTTCAGCAATTGCAATCTTGTAACTGCTAACTGTGTGATTCGAAATTTCGCAAATAAATAGGCTTTGGATTTGCAAATTTTGAACCGTGAATTTTGCACATTTTCCACATTTGTAACCCCGATCGGTGCGCTTGCAGAATTTCGACCGTACTGCCCCAGTTGCAGAAGCCACAGACACCTGCGCCTGCGCAGCGGCAGATGAAAAAGCACAGAGCTCGACTTCTCGCTCGACTTCACCGCGCTTCGGCATCGAACTTTGGTTGGCCAATAATCGCTGCTACCGCCGCTGCCGCTGCTACCGCCGCTGCCTCAGCTACCGCCGCTGCCTCTGCTACCGCCGCTGCCAGCGCACCATTAATGGGCTGGAGGAGCTCGGCTAAGCGATGCGGTGCGATGACATGTCGCTTATCAGCGGAGGGCAATAATTCTGCCCGAGTTGGGATGCCAGTGATTTATTTGGCCATAATTAATTTGATTTTATTGTTTACAGACAATTTTCGACGGCGCTGCTTTGAAAGCGCTGTTCTTCAGTTAATTGTGTGTGACAACTCACTAACTTGCTAGCAAAACAGCACGACTTCCACAACGCTATGCATACACATGTATGTCATATGAATACAAATGTACTTTTCCGACACCCAAGCTGGATGTTGTTTCTACAAATATTTACAAAATATTGGAGGCGTCTTACCATTTCCCAAAATCAATGTTTGTACGTTAATATTCTTCTTTCCCTTGCTTGGTTATGGCTATATGCGTCGGAAGTGGGCGAAGTTTCACTGTAGTCGTTGATAAGACATCCATTCAGCACTCAAAAGCTGTGCAAACACTTAAGAAATAAATTTAAAAACTAGTTTCTCCTTAAAAAATATTTATATCAAGCCGCCAAGTGCGGAAGTGAAATGTATTATACAGACAAAAAACAATTAAAGTTTTTATACAAAAAAAAACAAAAACCGACTGTAACTGGTGATATTTCCAAATTAGAGAGGCATTTTATCTGTCACGTTTGCCAATTCGACGTTGGTTGTATCCACCGAAAAAAAAGCAGGAGAATCGTGTCTAGAACAGTATCTCAAATAAGATAAGCACTAAAACCCTTTTTAGTTCCTACCATTTGGGGTTTCTTCTGGAAGCAGCGATTCGGGAGCCCAAGAGGGAAATTTATGTAGGTTCATGATTGGAATTTAAAGGTCCGTCTGATTAGCACAGAATGATTGTTATCTATGAGGCCCCACATGATTTGCATGCGAATCGAATAACTATCGAAACTTAACGATATGAAGCTAGCTGAAAATGCAAAAGATACACCGAGAAAAACTATAGCAACTATAAGAACGCTGGAAGAAATATATCATTTGCAGGGCCTTTCAATGAAAACTGAGACATTCATTCGGATTTTCTGTATATGCTTTTTGCACTAAAAATACAGATTAAGTAGGAAACTATTTGTTGATAAATAAAGCTGGAATACGTTTTCATGGTGCTCATCTCGGACATTATTTATTAAAAGCCGTATACTTTCTGGCCATGCAGGAGTACGCAAATAAAGGAAGAAGCCGAAAATGTTTTTTAAAACTTAGTGTAAAGGTACACTTTTTAGAGTCTAATTAAACCAAGAAACTTTCGCAAGGCCTCCCTTTTGCACTTATAAGTTTAAACATTTTAGTCTCGCAAGCTATGACAATTACCCAATTGTGGGCACTTCATTTTTAGTTATTATTATTTTGGTTTTATCGTGGGATGGACCGGAAGGAATGGCATGTGGAAAGCGGGATTGCATGCAAAATCACTGGAGAAATGCGAGCACGATTTTCAGCTAGATTCATATACTATATTGAATTATATTTTATAAACACCACTTGCTAGGACAGCAAGTAAATAATATACGAGTGGTATATGCTGTATGTAGAGTCGCATCTTTCGTAGTTGTTTGGCCACCGCGCCATTAATAATTTAATTAATTTAATCATTTGTGTTGGCAACAATTTGCAATTTAATGGCACAAATTACGGCTCGTAAGTGGCACTGTGGCGAAATTTTCAAATTAAAATTCGGCAATCATCTAAATTTGCACATTAAAATGAATTCACACCAATCAATTGATTATCCATCCACTGATCACATCGGATCGTTCTTGCAAACGCGAATCTTCACGCAGCAATCCACTCGATTTCGCAGCTCCATTCCCAGATATTAGGTAGAACAATCCACTCACTTGCAGTGTCTGTATCTCCAAGGTGCACTAATGTATGTATCGCAGTTGAATCTTATTTGGGAATTGGGAATTATGCTCGTATTTGAGTTTTAACTCTGAATCTGAACTAATGCCGCCGACAATCGGCGTTCGACTAATGCGCTCTACGTAAAGCCCAAACGTAACTTTCGATTGCGCCAAAAGCGGCGGCTGCGACGCCGACTGCGCAGTCGCGAGAACGCCGAGAAAGGCAGCTTAACCCTATAGAGGCCAAGCACTTTGTTTGGGCCAAGTGAGCGCCATGGAAGTGGGCAAATTCACAGGTAAGATTTAGAAGAGCCATTGAAGCCATTTGAAGTCTTCCAGCTGGGTTATGCAACAGAAAACAACGAATTGCAGTACTTTTATGCAATTTGGTGTTTCCACATTGAAGTGCTTTTTCTTGATTAGCACACAGGTAGATAATATAGATAATACAATAATATATATTTACTTTAATAAATGCACACACGAACGCTTAGACGTCTATCACTCATACGCATTGTTGGCCCAAGCGTGTTTGATTTAATTACCATTAATTAAAATGAATTGATTTTATTATTTGTATCACTTCTGCCGTCTACAAAAATTTTAAATAATGTTTTTGGTTTTGGGTGAGTAGACTAACCATTCGGGGAATCAACTTTAAAGGCCTATATAAATCCAACAAAAAGAGTTATAAATGTAACCATTTGAGAAAGAGGTAGGCTACCCAGTATCTTGGGGTTAAGCAGGAGGAGATCGGAAGCGCGGGGACGTGATCTCTGTCAAGTTGAGCCGGGTCTACTTTCCATATGATCTTAAATCGAATTAAAATGTAACGAACGCCATGGAATTGGAATTGAAATTGTAGCCAAATGAAAGCGATGCCAGCGCCTCAATGCCAGCGATCAAGTCGGGTACTAATAGAACGGCATTTACAGTAGATCAAGGTGGGGGAAGATCGCCATCGCCATCGCCATCGGCATCGCCATCGCCATCGTCATTGCTGAACCCCTGGGAACATGATTTATCGATTTGACGATACCAGATGGCTGATAAGCAGCATAGAACACGATCCCCGGGAGGCGCTGGAAAGGAAGTCGCGGTGCTCGGGTACATGGCGCCTCCGACAGACACTCAAGCGCATGTAAGGGCGCTCACAGCAGCGGCCAAGAAAGTAGAGCGTCTCTACTCAAGTGCATATTGCTATTATAAATCTGCCAAAATGACATACAGAAGTTATTGAATTTGTAGGCCCATTAAAAACGATGTCTATGATAAACAAATTACAGTGTAACCATAAAAAAAGGGTTTTATTTTTTAAGAATTGCTCGCATTCGCTCGCCCCCGATTGTTTGTGTGCCAGCACACCTCCGGCCACGCCCCCTCTGCTGACAAGTGGGCAACAAGTGTTTTCGCAATGACGCAGATGGACAGATCGGCAAACCGTTTTTTGTTTTCCCCCACAAGTTGACAATCCAAAGTGAGTTCTATTCCGGAATTTTCCGTTCCGGATGGGAAGATTCTTCCGCTTTGGAGCCATCAGCGGGTGAATCATCGGTATTCGATTAGCCTGAAGATATGGTTTTCAGGAACTCGTAAGCTTAGGGAGCAAGAAGGCATCCTATCAAAGTAGATTGCCACCTCTGCCTATTTCAAATCATAAAAAATACCTGAAAACAGGGAAAACAAAGTGTTCGTATCAATCTATTTAGTTTTCAATTAAATGGCAATGACTAAGATTATTTGTACGGCAGAACATATATTCAGTAATTAAACTTAGGACTGCTGTCATTTTTGTCTGTGAAGATAACACTTCTGCGAAACATTTCCCTTGGCTGATCACGGCATCTAATCAGGAACCCAAGGATATCTACTCCGAACTGCATTGTCACTCCATCAGGTTCTCCAGGGGCTTTCCCAGTTGAGACATATAGCAGTTTGGAAGATATAGAACATTAACATACACCGGCCATGTGATTTTTGACTTTCCAATCAATGGGCGGTGCGGACAACTTGTTCACATTCTGTCAACTCATCTCCGGTGCGGGGCACGCAGTGAGTGGTGCACTGCGGGAAACCAGTTATGACTTCAAAACTACATTTCGACAATTCGTATTTTATGAGTGTGCCATTTTTAGATCCGAACCTAGGCTGCAGTGCTATTTATCTTTATTTTATTTGATAACTGTCTACTTAATTAGGCACATATTTAGTTGTGCCCGTCCACTTTTCTTAGTGTAGCAGTCCAAGCCGAAAATTGATATATTGGGCTTGCAGAAAAGGGCTTACAAAGTACACAAGCTAAAGTGGGGCACTTATTTATTCTGGCGATATGCGTTCGGCGTACTTGATTTACACACTTTGTGGTTTCCGCACAAGCGTGCGCTTAAAAGTCCCCAAGTTTCCCCTCTACGTTTTCAGACTTCCAAAAACCATGGCAGTAGCAAATGATAGTGACGTCGGGGGTGGCAAGCAAATCGCTATACATAAATGGCAATCGCCCACTTCTGGACGAGGGACTAGGATCGCGTCGGATCGTTTGGGATCGGTCAGCTATGGTGGGTGTGGGTCTAGCTGGTCACTCGTACTCGTATGTGTAATAGTCAATCAGTGTGCCAGACTGGCCAGGCACTTGGCCATTATCTCCGTCGATGTGGGCCCAGATAAAGCCTTTTGTTTACGGCCCTTCATTGCGACTGTCGCCCCAAGAAATGTACCCTTTTCCAGCTTGTTGTTGCCCCATGAATTGGCGTTTCAGCGAATAAATATAAACATGTTTAAATGAAATATGTTAGCAAACATTCCTGCTGTTCGTTTAGTTGGTTTAGCAATATTTGCTATTTGCCTGCAAGTTGTTGCCAATTGACAGCTGCATTTGGCTGTTAATGGGGAAAAGCGATTTATTTGGCCAGCAAACAGTTGGAAACTGTTTAAGGGCTTCTTACGTGGCGAAATTCTGCGGAAAACAAGATTTTTCTACTTTCAAATTGACCAAACATCTCTCTTTCTAACTTATCAGATCTTTCTTAATCATCTCATATATAGGTGGCATTTTTAAACTTTAAACTAGTGTGCATTCTTAAACATAAGCTACTATTATATATTATATGCATGTATATATTGTTAACAAATCTGTCGGTGTTTTCAGGAATTTGTCGAATTAAACCCTGTGATGGCGTTTTTGCCCCACCAAATAGTACTAGAATTTTTGTATGAAATGCTTTTGGCCAAGTTTCCCATCATAAATACCGATTTCTCAGATGATTTCAATTGTTTCCTGTTCTGAGTTCTGGGTTCTGGGTTCTCTCGCCAGATTGGATCTCCCAAAATGTGTGGATATAGCTTAGTGTCCGAATGTTCGATATAATGTCCGATTTGGCCGCTGGAAATAACAGGCCGTTGATTGATGTTTGCGATTTATTTAATTAAATGCCCCGCTGTTGTGTACGTTTTTAATGGCGATTAAGAGATTGTCAGGCGACCAAAATTAAATCGAGACCGAAATAAGCAAATACAAAACTGAAAATGAAAATCAAAATGAATGCGAGAATGAGAATTTGCCGCACTTTTAATTTGAGTCAACAAACAGCGCACTGTGTCGACTTTTTGCTTGTTTTTTCAGTCTTCACTCTTGGCGCAATTAATGACACAACAATTTACAAGTGATTTTTCAGTGCAACACGACGCGATGCGAATTATTTACAGCCCTTGTTTGTTCGCTTCTTCACTTAAACATTTTAACTTTTTTGGTTTTCTTGCTGAGACGTCAGACGCGTTTGCCCCATGAAAGGCAGACAAAGCTTTCCCATATTCTGTCCGATCGGCGGATATTTGTATATATCTTTAACCGTAGACGCCTTGTGCATATACACATATCTTATTCGTATTCTTGACTTTAAAAATAAACAAGAGAGCATAAAGAGATCTTCGCCGCCGCCGCCGTCGTTTTCGTTGTTTGCCAGTCGGAAAAGCGGAAAATCGGAAAAGGCCTCTCATCCCACAATTCGAAGTGGAGGAAGTTGGGCGGCCCAACCAACTCACTCCTATGATTTATGCACGTGCAAAATTCGTGACGAAATTGGCGAATTCCTAATTGCAGATTGCAACATTCCCGCTGCGGCGAACGTTTTATGCAAATTCTGAACGGTTTCACTTGTTACAGCATTTCTGGAGCGTCATCGTTATAGCTATCTTTCATTCGAGGCTCACTTGGAACAATTTTTAGGCAAGTAAACAGTAAATAATTCTGTAGGTTGAGAGAATTCAGATGAAACTCAAATAAATGCTTGATATATTGATGAATGTATATGTACTGAAATGGAAACCCAAATGGAACATCATTATTAATGATAATTATTAATTTCCCTTTGCTTAGCCCCAATTTCTCGCAGTGCAGCTGCCCATTGACGCAAGCGATTGCGCACAACAATAGCGGTAGGAGCAACAATAACAACTGCCGGCAGCAACAATTACTTGTGATAACAGCCACATTATTTTATTGTCAAAAAGCATCCACCCCCGCAATGGCAGCCCCTCCCAAGCACCCCTTCTCCCATACATCTCATTTATATGGCATATGTGGATGTACATACATATGTGCATATAATCCCACCGATCGGGCTTAGCCGTATAAATTGCCGCTGTGACTGATAAATTACATTAATAGCTGGCGGTGCCGACGTTTGAGCTTTGTTTGCTTCCTGCCCATGCCCCTGCCCCTGCCCCTGCCACGCCCCCTACCCGGGCACAACACGATCTTCTAGAGCGCCAAGCGATCGGCCGAAGGAATCGGAGCTCAGAGTGGGCACAAAGAAAGCTCAGGGCGTCGGATCTAAGGGGAAAGGGAAAGTAGTTGGCCATAAGTTCCCTGATTTATTGACCACTTTAGTTGCCAGCACAATTTCAGTTTAGATTATGCATGCTTAAAGGATTCCCCCCGCTTTGTGATCTCATAACACTTGAAAATTACACCTAATGCAATCTGAAATGTATCATTATAGATTTTTATAAATTTACTGACAGTTTGATGAGACCGGAAGCCTAACAAATATTTTTCAAAAATATATTAGTTCTGAAATATATCAATAGTTCAAGTGGTATAATAGGTACCATAATTCCCATATAAAACTATAGGACTTTTGGTATCCCAGAGGTCCAAAAATGAACATTTTAATTCAACTTTATCTCGAAACCGAAAATGCAATAGATTTTTGATTTTTGTTTAGTTTCTGAGTTTATAAGAGACTCCAACTCAAACGTAGCTATTGAATACATTTCCGCTGGTGGCCATTGCAATTTGCTCCAATCCCGATCCTCGGATGTCTAGAGCGAGTCAATGCTGGGCTTCTTGTTCTTGCTCATGCCAAAGTATTCCCACCAGGATCGGAGTGCTCCCGCTTCGTCTGCTGGAACAGCACTGGTGGGCACAGAGGCGGAGGTGTTGCGCACAACTCCTCGGGAGGCGGTCCCCGTAGGTTGCTCCGTATAATTCTCAATGCTGCTGACACTGGAATCAGACGGATTGACAACAGCGGTACTACGGCGACTGGTGGATTTGGCGGATTTGCCGGATTTGGCCGACTTCGCTGACTTTGCGGACTTGACGGTGTTCATGGAGACCTGGGTCACATTGGCCAAACTGGGCAGCGGGGTAATGCCTACATCTTGGGTGCGACGCTGCCGGCGATCTCCACTACCGAAGAGCTTACTCAGATACGGCATGCACATCCTGGAAGTGGAGCTTTGAATGCAGAAGCAGTTGTGATCGTGTGACCTTTAAATTTGGGGATTTATGCTCTACGTTTTGAAACGATTTTAGTTGCCGACTAGAATTTGGATGGCATCGAAATTTAAACTGAAAGTAGAACCGTAAACCCTTGGGTAAATGGATCAAACATTAACAAATTTCATATTTTTAAAAAATTCAATTATCCACATTCTAGCTATATTTAAACATAAATATAATATTTAGAGTGTGTAAGGAAAAACCCTTCCGCATAGACAAATCCTCGCCCATTGTTAAAATTGCTCATGGCCGTTCTAAATTTAGCTGGAGATTGGGGTGGATTTGGTGCAACATCACTGGAAATGCAAGGAACGCAACGCGCCGCTTGGGGTCCATGTGTTTCGGAAGCTATTTATAGAAGCGCTGGCACTACGACAACATCAACAAAGCGGAGTCGCTGCATCCCCGGATCAGTTGCAATCAGACCATGGCCTCGTTCGGAGTTCGAGGAATGGGCCAGCCGCTGGGCATCCGGATCTGCTGCTGTCGCGTCTGCACCTGCATCAACTTCGGGTTCGTTCTGTCGCGGATTGGCCTCCTCAAGCTGATGCAACTGGGCCTGGCCATGCTCTGCGAGGGACTGCTCATCCGGTACGGCGTCCCATACGCCGATTCCATTGGCCAGGCGCTAACCAGCTTCCTGGCCACCACCGGCCACTGCTTCACCACCACCGGCATCCTGCTCCTGTGCTACGCCTTCTCTGACAAATCCTACAGCCTCATCCGGCAGTCACTATTCGTAGGTTGACGACTTAGAGCTTTCCCAAAAGGAATATGAATTATTTCCAACTTATACAGAGAATTCATTTTTAGTTAAGGGAAACATTTTAATTTACGTTTTTGTCTGATCTAACGATATGGTTTTGCTCTTATTCCAGGAGACCTTGTTCAATGGCCTCGCCAGCTGCATGTACTTCAGCTCATCGAGTTACATGGGGTTCGCCTGCGTGGTGTGGCTGCATCCGCAGTTCCTGGTGCGACCCGGATTCTGGGCATATCCGGCTATGACCGCCTGCTACGTGAGTGCTATTAATTCAAATAAAACTAATAATCCTCTTAATTTTTGAACTTTCAGTACATGGGCTATGCAGCGGGAATTTTGCATGCTCTGGATGCCTACTTGGCGTTCCGGCACTTTCGAGGGGCACGCTAATCCCGGCCAGACAAAAGCAGTATCTTAAGTAATTTGTGGACATTTTTATATGAGTTTTAGGTTTAAGGCACCTCACTTCCATTGGTCTCGAACTTTCACGGCAAAAGCGCTTAGTCGTATGTTTATAAATAATAATATTTAAAATGGACTGGTTTCATTAGCACCAAAAGGAGTAGAGTGGGAGATCCGGCAATCACGTGTCCCATCAGGCCATCTTGTTGGCATCCGCCTTGAATTTTCTGCAAGTACAGAGTTCGTTAGATGTTTGTTGCTTCTACGTTGGTTTCTTACACCCACTTCAGTTGCTTGAGGGCCTGGCTGGTTTCGAAGTCCGCCTTTAGCAGTCCGATGCGCACCCAGCGCGGTCGCTCGTGGATAACCTTGTGGATGAGGAACTTCAGGCCCAGCAGCAAGTGCTCGAAGATAACGAACGAAAGATCCGGCACCGATGGCAGCCAGTGAGAGAAGAAGTCCCTGATGGAAGCAAAAGGATGATCATCAAGAAGAAAGTTAGTGAAGGACATAGCTCACTTGACATTCGGCTGGAGGAAGAGCAGACCGCAGTTGCTTAGCAGCGACATGACTGAGAGCAGCTCGAAGGCCAGCTGCCAGGCGCCTATATTCTTAGCCCGCCTGGCAAATGGTCGCTTGAAGATGTTGCATAGCTTCCACATATCAATGTGCACGGCAAAGACGTTGTTTAGCAGAGCTCCAATGGCGGCAAACGGGGCAACGGCGGCAAATAGGACCACGAATCCAAACTGGATGCACACCTGCAGGTAGTCCTCGTACGTGGAATGATATTCATCAAGTCCGGACTCGTAGAACGATTGCTCGTAGCGCGGCAGATCACTGATGGATCGCAGCTTCTCCTCGGCCACCTCGCGATGCCGAAACTCGACGTACTTCTGGCGCAGCACCGCCAGGAGCGGTATCCCAATCTCCTGGGCGATGCACAGCAGCTGGAAGACCAGCAGTTGCATCATCAACTGGTACTTCAGCTGGCGCAGATCTTGCAGCACGAAGGCGATATAAAACTGCGAGAAGAAGTTATTCACGATCTCAAAGAGCATCAGCTTATTGACTCGATGACGATCGTATTGCGATCGAGTTCGGTGGTTCTCCAGGTTGGTAAGGAATGTGGCCAGCTTCTCGTATGCCCACGAGAAGATCGCAATCAGCACCGACTGCACAATAACCGGCACGTACAGCAGCCAGGAGTCCGGTCCGAAATCCGCCAGCACCTCAGCTTCAATCTGGAACTGATAGAGGGCAAACCAGCCGGCGGCCACCACACAGCCCAGCACCACCGGATACGAGATGCAGTACATCTGCAGGTATGTGTACCGCATCGGGTAGTGGAGTGTCATCTTGCCGGTGATGGGGTCCGGTTTCAGCTGGCCCGTGTAAGCGGATCGCGGCTTGTCCAGGCTGCTCATCTCGATGGTGCCCCATCGGTATGAGTAGCCGGCACACTTACGCTTCCACAACTCCAGGAAAATCTAAAAATATTGGAATATGTTAATAGAAAATCGATTGGAAAAACAAAATCTTATTAACTAGCAGATTTGATATAATATATAATCTTTAGTTAACTTTTTCTAATGGCAGTTATTTAGTCGATTTATATTTAAACTATTCGAACATGAAACTTTGTAGAACTGCAAGATTAAAATACATACATGCTAGCTATTTTTACTATAGCACTTAAAAGTTTCCAACTTAAGAGCACTTAAGTGATGCTATACTTAGATTTATAAGCTGTAAAAGCAACTTATTTTTATTGTGCAAAAGATTACTTTGTTTCGCCTTGAAAATTAACAATTCAACTCACCGTGGTCCAAACTACATAGAAACTGCAAACCATCGAGATGTTCAGATCTAATACATATTGAAGTATACCAAAAAGGGAGGGAAAGATCAGGGCCTTTGTGTAGAACTCGATGAAGCCGAAATAAAGACCTATACTGGATCCAAAGTAGTTTCGGATGTCCTCAATGGGCAGCTTGGTGCGCTTCAGATTCCAGTTGAAGCGTTCGAGATACAGCTAGAGGTATAGATTGATGCATTATGTAACATTAAACAGTCTATCCATGGCTATAAATAGAATATATAACTTACGATGTCGTGGAGGGGAAACATATCCTCGATGTACCCCTTTTGCACATAACTCTTAATGCCGTCCTGGATTACGTCCTTGATGAGAACAGGAATCTCGCAGTAGCGCAGGATCTGCTCCTTGCCCATTCCGGGCAGCAGGAAGTCCGAGATGCAGCCGTGGTTGAACTTCTGCATGCTGTTCGTGGTGGTCATCTTCTCCAGCTCAGCGGCATCGGCCAAACGGAGCAGGGTATCTACGCTGGCTGACAGGTATAGATACTTCTCGGTTTTCCTGTAAGAAATTTAATTGGATTAGTTGCTTGCTATTCTGGAGAAGTACTTAACCAAGCACTTTCGTAAACAAATAGTAAAATCGATATTCAGTTCCAAACAAAGTGGAGATCAAAAGATCTCGTTTTTGCATTGTAAACAATGCACTTGTTTGCCAATTTAATTTGATTTATTGGTCTGTCCTAGATCTGAATTGTTTTGAATAGAAACTTAGCTACAACTTATTATGATTTTTAAATTAAATTTTCGATATTTTCTCGTTGAATAATTTATGTAATTCATCCAAGTTGTCTTCTTCGAATTACATATATGATTATATTATGATTATGTAAAATTATTTTTGTTTTTGGAACGAGTTAAGAGGTAATAATATAGAGTTCATAATTGTTCAGCATAGTTATTCTGTGTAAATTTATATTGTTGTGCGTTACATAAATTATTTTCTATATTCGATGTTAAATGTTTGGATTTATGGCTTAGGCAAACAAATTTTCTTGATAGTTTTTAAGCAAAAAAAAGGTGTACGATTTGTTGTTATCTACATATTCAACATAATCCCTACTTACCCCACGATCTCCAGCGTGGTTTGGATGCCAAACTCCTGGATGATCTTCTCCACATCCTGGCAGTGTCGCAGCTTGGCCTTCTCCGTGAAGATGATGACGATGTGCGTCTGTTCTTCGGGGTAAGGGCTCGTAAATAACCCATGCGGAGCACCTCATAAAATGCAAAATAACTGACCTTGTCGAAGGGTTCCGTGTCTGCGTCCAATCCCTCTACCCCGTCGTTGGAATCCAAGGTCCGCTGGCGCTGCAGTGCCTCCAATTTCAGGCTACGCTGCCGGCGGAACAGCTGGTTCTCGATGATGTTCCGTGTGCGTGGTCCTGGACCTGGAAATATTCGGTTTTAATGGGTTTTGCGAATGGGGCAATGCGGCAATGTGGCATTAAGTGCCAGCTCACTGGGTGCACTTACTCTTGGCATCTTCGGACATCGTTTACGGGTGACGACGAGTGGCGTCGCTGAACTAATAACAAAATATAACAATCACATCCACATCCGAATATGATATTGCAGAATTCTCTCTTTCGGTTTATTTTGTTTTTGCTTTCTTCTCCGCTCGCATGAGTAAGTGCCTGCTATCTCGTTCGCACATGTGGTGTGCGTGTGTTGCTAATTGCGTGTATAAGTGTATCTTGGCCCGCGCCGATGCCAAAATACTGAATTTTTAATAATAATGCCAAAATATTCAGTTCTTGCCGGTTCAAATCCAACTGTTTTTGTTTTTGTCCCAGCTGCGTGGCGTGTGACGTCATCGCTGCCATGTTATCGAATCGGTTCGTCTCTCTGCAGCAACAACTACAAAAATAAATCATTAATGTCACAATTAATTTGGTTTTAATTTGTTTAAATTAACTAGAATCTTCTCTTCTTTCCCGCCCTTCGGCATTGCAACAAATCAAACACTTATCGATAACCGTGTGCAACTCTGTCAGTGATGCGCATCGGTTGCACTCTGTGACTGGCAGTCACGGCAATCTGTAGGCAAGCAGTGCAAAATAAGCGGTTCAAAGCAGATTTAACGGACCGTTTCCAAAAACTAAAACGGGAAACTGCTTAATTTGTTGGAAATCATTGCTGTTGAATTTTTAAACATCTGTTTAAATTTATTTTCATAGTTTGGAACTAGAAATATACTTCACTTATCTGATTACTAATACTTCGAGCAGTTTTCTTAAAAAAAGAAATCTGAAAATGAACAAGCATTCCCCAAGTTAATGTCGTTTGTAAATGCACCACTTAAGTTGTTTTTATCTTTATTTGAAATCGATTTTTAGCAATCGCTATGTTTATATATAATTTTTCGACTATAATTTCATTTAAATATTATGGTTGTTGCGTGAAGGCTTAATCGATTAATTTAAAATAAATTCATTAACAATTCGTTTCAACAAAATAGGTTTTGTTCATAGATACATATATCTGATAATACGTTAGCATAAATAATTGGAACTTGCTGAAAGTCGATTCATGGAAATTCAGTGCCAAAACCTTCAGCCGTTTGTCCTTTATCATCCCATCTGATATATTTTTACAATATAAATGTTTTAAGTTCTTTACACATCATTAAAGCAATCTTGCTTATAACTTGATTTTTCTCAAGTTTCGCTCTTTAGAACCAAAACGAAAGGAAATGAAATATATCAAAATTATCCTCGTACAATAAATAAAAACATTTTTGGGATCTGTCTATGTCTTTCTCTGTATCGTTATCGGTACTTCTATGTGCCTCTGTGGTTTCTTGATCTTTTCCATTAACAATTTGCTTGCGTTAAGTTTTTGAAACTCCTTAAACTTTGGTATAATATCGTAATCGTATTGATCAATATCTAATGTCTCAAGATAGATGTGTTCCTTTAAATCGTTAGTTCTTAACGAAATCGTTACTTTAGCTACAAAATTGAAAAAGGCTGTGATGTCTCAAGTTTTTGGTTCGTCGGATTCTTTGTGCTTTTGGGGAGTCGTTGTCTGATCTTTTTTTTTGTTGATTTAATTGGGAGTTTTTGTCTTTAAAAAGTCTGTGCTAGCTTATAAACAAAGTCGATTTGGTTGCAGCTGCTCCAGGATTTCTCTGGGTCACCATATATGTCCTATGCAGTAGGTAGATCCATATATGGCGGTGCAAAATTGAACACGTTCCCATTTCCGTTCCCTAGACGTCGATCACGCTGTCATTCTTCTTCATCTCCATGAG